GTTGGAAATGACTTAGGCGTAAAAGACGGTTTCTCTGCTTTAATAATTTACAACCCCTTGAGGGATATGAGGGAAGGGAATGGGGTAGCAATGAGGGAAAGCCACAATTTGCATTATAGGAAATGAGGAATCCTTGAAGATTTCTGGACGACGATCTCTCCCTGAGAAATATTTTACTAGTGTACCTGGCATGGTGGTTCGTGCCTGTAATCCCAGCTACTCTGGAGGCAGGGATTGAGAGGATAGTGGTTCAAAGCCAGCCTGGGCAAAAAGTTAGCAAGACCCCATTTCAATCAATAAGCTGGAAATAAGCTATCATTCCAGTTACCCAGGAGGTGTAATTAAGATCAAGGTCTAGGCTGGCCCGGGTGAAAAATGTGAGACCCCATCTGAAAAGCAATGAAAGCAAAAAGGGCTGGGGGTGTGGCTCAAGCAGTAGAGTGCCTGGTTAGCAAATGTAAGGCCCTAGTTCAAATGCTACTACCACAAAAAAGAAAAAAAATTGCATTTTATTAGCATCCTGTAGGTACAGAGATGCAGGTAGATTTGGGTTTTTGGAATGTGACTAAAGGGAGCTATAAGGAGAGTTCAAGGTCCCAAAGGAAGCCGGGGCCAGGAAAGGCTGCAGGAGAGATAGCAGACTCCTGAGTGGACAGAAAGGGCAGCTCCTGAGGGGAGAAGTGGTGTGCATGGAAGGCGGAGGGGAGCTGAGGAGAGGGGTCCCAGAAGATGCCAAGCTTACAGGGAAAGTACAGCTGGGGGAAATGGATGATTTGAAGCCAATAGCTTTGGCCTGGCGGTGCCCAGTGAGCAGCAAGAAATGCAAGAAAAGCTTGGGAGAGTAACAAGCAGAGCACTTGAAGGAGAGCAGGGTTGGGGTATGAGGCCCAAAGTCCCAGGCTGCAAGATGGCAGGGCTGCCACCCCTTGAGAGGTGTCATTTGAGGGACCTATGACATCCAAGCTGATGAGCCTGAAGTGTCACAGTGACCAGCATGTCACGCTAGGCATGGTTCCTCTTACAGCTCTGAACACATAGCTGTGCCACAAGCACCCGTATGCTAGAGATCAGAGGAGCGACGGCCACACAAAGAATCGCTTTTCTGTGGCCAGACATTCGGGTGGAAAACAGTCGGCGGTCAGTGCTGCCCACCTGCAGGAGGTGGCTTCTTACCTGGGAGAATTCAAGCAGCCATGTCTAATCTTAATTGATTCACAGAACCTGAATGCCTCTAGGTTAAATTCCAGTCAGAATCATCTCCCTCTCTCCTTCCTCCTATGCTGAAAAAAGGGTTGGAAGCAAAGGCAGCCATCATAGACCAGCAACCCAAGGAATTCTGGGTAGATAGGAGACAATCATCACCACTGTTCATTGACTTATGCAATTAACTAAGAAAAGGAAAGTGAAGTGTAAGTGCTTGAAAACGGAAGCATCAGAACTAAGGAATTTCAATATAGCCACATTTAGAATCGACATTATTTTATTTTTTGGTGGGACTGGTGTTCAAGGCCTCACACTTGCAAAGCAGGTGCTCTACTGCCTGAGCCACGTCTCCAGTCCATTTTGATCTGGTTATTTCGGAGATTGGGGGGAGAATCTCCTGAACAATTTGCCCATGCTGGCCTCGAACCCTGAAACTCCCCATCTCAGTCTCCTGAGTAGCTAGGATTATAAGCAAGAGCCACCAGTGTCCAGTTTACATTACATGTCTTTTCATAACAGCTATAACCAAGACTGGAGGAGTGGCTCAAGTGGTAGAGCACCTGCCTAGCAAGTGGGAAGCCCTGAGTTCAAACTCCAGTACCACCAAAACAAAACCGCTATAGCCAAATAATAGGGGAAACGCAATTCTGGGACTCAGGACTTAATTGAGTTTCACTTGCAACAACAACACAAAAATTTGGTTTAAACAGAAAAGGAGTCCAGGTTGCTTCAGGCACAGCCAAATCACCAGGCTGGAGTAATGTCACCAGAACCGTTTCCTGCCCTCAGTCTCTGGAGTCCACCCTCTGCTCTTCTGAGCAGGCTCTCTCCACGCAGTGGGGACAGTCTCCCCTGTGTCTGCAGAAACCCAGCAGCCGAGTCCTGTCAGCTTTGCTGAGGACTGCACTCTGGTATGCCAGGCTCTCCATCTCAGCGGGGACAAAGTGGATCCCACTGGAGCCACTTGGTGTAAGAAGAGGATTTGGGGCTGGGGATGGTTCAAATGGTAGAGTGCTTGTCTACCAAACTCAAGGCCCTCAGTTCAAGCCAAAAAGGAAGCAAACAGACAAACAAACCAAAAAAAAAAAAAAAAAAAAGAAAAAGAAAAAAGAAAACTGAGGGTTATCACAAGAAGTAATGACTTTGGGAAAGGCAAACAACTTCCTCCAGATTCTGTTACTAGCAGCACGGAAGCCAGAGGTGGAACTCGTCTGATAAAAAACAGAGCCCACCTAAAGAAAGCCATCGAGCCCGGAAGAAATAGGGCAGGAGTTTGTGTTTTTGGAAGGGAAGACACACAGTGTTATAAAAACTCATCTTTCTAAACCGATCCGTCCCTTCTGATCAAATCCTAAAGCAATATCTGAATTGATCTTTATGAGCTGATTTTTAAAGTTCTTAACTCAGAAAAAGAGCCAAGGAGTTTGTTTTGTTTGGTGGTACTGCTTGCTAGGCAGGTGCTCTACCACTTGAGCCTTACTTCCAGCCCTTTTTGTTTAAATTATTTTTTAAATGGGGTCTCCTGTTTATGCCTGGGCTGGCCTGGACCTTCCTACTTACACTTCCCATTGTAGCTGGGATGACAGGTATGGGCCACCATGATCAGCTTTTGTTGGTTGAGATGGGGTCTCTCAAACTTTTTGCCTGGGCTGGCCTCCAACCACAATTCTCCCAGTCTCTGCCTCCCAAGTAGGTAGGATTACAGGCATGAGGCATCACACTTGCAGCCAAGTTTTTTGAAAAGAAATGATGGTAAGTAGATTATTGCAGCACACATATGAACATATTGGGGAATACAGAAATTTGAGACAGGGATATTAGGAGAGAAAAATTCTCTATTAGTAGAGGAAAGTAGAGAACATGGTCAAATCAGTAAAAAAAAAAAAAAAAAAAGGGACCGTCAATACACAATTTGGAGTCTTCCCCAATGCCTATGGTAGAGGAACTCTAGTATTCACCGGTGACCAAGAACACAGATGATTCAATAATCCCAGGACAAGGATGACTTCCTAAAGACCACCCAAATCCCAAACTCCATAAGGCAAACCTTTAGGCCGATGTGACACTGGCAAACTAAGAGCTAAGGTTCCTCAACCTTGGTGCAGATTTGGATTGGTACAGCCTATTTTGAATAATAGCATCAAATTTTGATACATATGAACTCTAAGTCCGATTCTCTTAAGTTTTTTTTTTTTTTTTTTTTGTGGGACTGGGGCTTCATACTTGCAAAACAGGTGCTTTACCACTTGATCTCACCTTGGGTCCATTTCGCTCTGGTTATTTTGGAGATGGGGGTCTCTCAAGCTACATGCCTGGGCTGGCCTTGAACTGTGATCTTCCCAATTTCATCCTCCCTAGTAGCTAAGATTACAGGTGTGAGCCACCAGCTTCTGGCTCTTTTTTAGGATTCTTGTACTGACATAATCCTGCCTGTCTGGAAGGGTACACACACAATCCACACAACGTTGTTTCCAGTAGCTTGAAAAAGGAGAAACACTCTAATATCCACAGCAATGGAGGGAGAGTTAAGCCAGGGGATTTTCTCATAGAATTCACTTCAACAGTGAGAACAGTGAGGCAGAGCGACATGCTTCCAAGAGAAGAGCCCATTACATTAAGCTGCTCCAAACTGGGTATGGTGGTTCACAGCTGTAATACCAGCATTCAGGAGGCTGAGGCAGAAGAATCAAGTTTGAAGCCAGCCTGTGTTACATAACAAGACTGTCTCAAAAAAAAAAAAAAAAATCAAAGAAAAGGATCAGGACCAGGGCCAGTTTTACAAGTTCTGAGCATAATATGGCCAGGGAGGCTTGAAAGGGTGTCCTGTCCCTGTTAGTTACCTAGTCCTGGATGGGCTGACTGCCTGAGGAATGCAAGGTGGAAAAGAAGGGTTTTCATGGGATTGTGTGTTGATGAAATGTCTCAAACAAAGCACTGTTACTTGGTGTATATTTAAGGAGACAATAAAAAAAGAAACTCATCAAAAACGGCACTGTTTGGGGATGAGAGTCTGGATAAGGGGGGAAGTTATGATTAAAATACTTGACAAATGGATGAAAATAGAGTGGAACCCATTAAAATTGTTTTAAATAAGAGGGAAGAAAGTAACAGAGGAGGTGAATTTGATCAAGATACATCATATGCACATATAAAATGTCACAATGAAACCCCTTTGTACAATTAATATGTGCTAATAAAGAGGAAAAAAATTACTAAGAATAGTCTTATTGAGTCAGAGGAAAATCAAGTATTTTTTAAAAAGATAAATTTATTAAAAATTTGCAGCTACTTAAAATTTATTAAAGTCAGAGAAAAATATTAACTCTACAAATTTATAAGTTCCAGAGATGAGGAATCACAGGATTTAGGTTTTAAAGAATTAGATTAAGGCTTCCTCCTGAAGGCTTTATGTCACCGTCCTTGTCACACTGGGACTTGGGCAGCTTAAAGGTCACTTGCTCAGAATCATGGCCATGGTAAGCAGGCAGCAGCATGTGAAATGGTGGAAGATGGGGGAGGCTTGTCCTCACTCTTATCCAAATGCAGTCAACAGCACACTTCTCAGTTCATGGAACGCAGTTTTCTGCCATTCTTTGGAACCATGAACCATCAGACCCTCACTCCTCCTTTCACAGAAGAGCTGCATCTGCACTGGTCCTCACACCTGAGTGCCTGCCCCTAGTTAAGACACTGGCCCTGTAGCATGTAGGTAAAAATGTCCCAGGGGAGGAGGTTTTCCTTAGTTCTTGTTCTCTCATTTAAAATTGTCACTTAGCTGGTAAAAGGGGTTAAAATTTTTAGAACTTATGTAACTGTGTCCAGAAATACATTAAGGCCGTTGCTAAAAAGCATGACAGGAAAGTCCAGATCAACCGTCTTCTCCAAAAAGTGAGTGGTAAGGGTGTCCTGAAGAACTGACAAAAGCCATCCTATAAGGGACAGAGAGGAGAATTAGACCCTAGCTCACCGTATACAGGAGGGGCGGGGGTGGTGGCGGTGGTGTACCTCAGTGGGCCAGTGTGTGCTTAGCATGTGCGAGGCACTGGATTCAATCCCCAGCACAAAAACAAAACACCCCCCAAATGCACAGGAGGTTCTAGATTGTGCAATAAAATAATGCTTGTACTTAAAAGTGAGCACCAGGTAATTAGAAACCCTGGAGGAGCCAGGATTGTAAGAAGCAGTCCAACATGGTACACAGAACCAACTATTTAACTTTGTCAGGGACTGCTCAAGTAGCAGAGCACCTGCCTGTCAAGTGCAAGGTCCTGAGTTCAAACTCCAGTACCGCCAAAACAAATAAAACTTTGTTGTGTAGAGAAGGGTCACACTCAAAGTCGAGTGTGGGGGGTATATAAGTAAGCATGCTTGTTTCTTTTTCTTTTTAAAAAATATGGAATGCTTCACTAATTTTTGTGTCATCCTTGACAGGAGCCATGCTAATCTGCTCTGTAATCATGCTCTTTTCTAAGCAAAGGACAGATGCCACTTTGGGAACTTCAAATTACTACATTGAAAAGTTATCACTGGAGACAATAAAGCCAGCAGCTCCAGCAAGGAAGGGACATGAACCCCAGGCTGTGGCATTTCAATGGCAGAGGGAGGAGAGGGGGAGCCCTAGTTAGCCAATTTGAGTTCAGCTTTTATTTATTTATTTTTGGCAGTACTGGGATTTGAACGCAGGACTTGGAGCTTGTGCGCTAGGCCTCCAGAAGAATTTCAGCTGCTTGATGTTGAGATGATTCCCTAGTCAGTGCTGATTAGCCAAAACAATGAGAAGAAGACCAGATTCCCCCCTCCCCTCCTCTTCAGGTGCAGAGAAGAACCAGGCTCAGGTGGGGTTCTCAGAAACTAGGCCCAGTGAGGGCCAATAAACACCAGGAATAACACTGGTGTCCCCACTAACGCTGACACTGCCTTTCCCTCCTCAAGTGGAATATTTGTCACCATAGTAGGTCTAAATGCAGACAGGAGGGCACATTTTGAATTAACAAAAAAACTCGCTGGTTTTAATAAGATTAAATTTATCCTACAACATGCCCTTTCAGTCTTGATTCAATTCTAATGAGGACGGGAGGAAAGAAACAGAGGTCTAGCTTGGAATCCAAGAAACCTTCGCTCAGCTTAGGAGCTGCAGGCCAAAGGCGGGGCCCTACACCCCGCCTACACCACAGAGATGGATGGAGGACTCCAACTGAAGCCTCGGACTGGAGGTCCCCGTGAGGGCAGATACAGTGCATAAGAAGTGAAGGAATCTGAGTCAGTGTCCCCTCAGGATGACCACACACACTTCCCCACCCCTCTATCTCATGGGTCTGGCCCTCTCCAAAGGTGTATTTAACAGGCAGTGGAGAGAAGGGAAAACTAAATCCACCCCGCTGGCGCCAGGTCATTGCTGACTGACTCCCCGGTAAATTCTACGCGAGCAAGGCAGACCTAACGTGGACTCTTACTGAAAGCCCCAGGCTGATTGAGGCTAGGTCAAGGTTAAAGCGTGTAGACCCAATTAGGTGGGAGCTTCCTAATAGCCCCAGGCCGGCTAAGGCTAGGTCAAGGTCAAAGTGTGCTGACCCGAGTACTTGGGCGCCTCCTGAAAGCCCCAGGACTAAGTCTAGGTGAAGGTCAGACCCCTGTATGCCCGCGCCTGCTCACCCAGCCGCCTTGAGCCTCCAGCCAGGCACGGTGCTGTCCCACGAGCCGAGCGCACAGCAAGGCCACCAGGCGCGGACAGTCCCGGGCAACTTCGTGGCGCGTCTTCCACTCGGCGACCACCGACGGCCCTCTCTCCAGCAGCGTCCCCGCGAAGGCCGCGAGCGTCACTACGCGGCCCCAGTTGAGGCCGCGGTTGTCGGAGAACGTAGCTTCGGCCATCCGCGCCATCAGCTCGACGCGATTGCCCTGGTAGCCGATGTAGCGGGAGAAGAAGGCCCAGTGGCGACGCCGTAACCGGGTGGCGGCGGCGCGCAGCACGGCGGCCTCGGGCGTGGACGGGGGCGGCTCGGGGGCGCCCGGCTCGGGCTCCCGGGCGCAGTACTGCAGGTAGTCGGTCAGCAGCCGCTCGGTGCGCTCCCGCAGCGGGTCCGCCATGCTCCAGCCTCTGCACCTGCCTCGCCCCCCGGCTTGTTTTCTAGACCCGCCTGGCCGCTTGCTTTTCCGAGGTCGGGAGAGGAGCCTTTGATGGGAATCCCACTTGCACCTGGAAGGTGCACACGTGTGTGCTGCATTCACTCATTCAGTCACTCACCTGCACTGAGTCAGCCTGTGGGGTGCTAGGCCTACTCCCTCTCAGCCCTAGAGCTGTAATGGAGACCAAGGCCTGTGGTCCTCGACTCAAGGACTCTAAGGTCTAGAGTTGGGGGGCGGGGCACAAAGGAATGGGCCATTCATTGAATTTCAGTTAATTGTTACTGAAATAGTCCAAGTTCAGGTATTCAGTTCTTGGGAGGTGGTTGCTGCTTTTACTACCATTTCTATATGCTTAGAGATCTTTACTTTTTACCAGCCAATACTCTTTTCTCCAGTCCTGATAGACTAAATACATGTTACATTTAAAGTCCCTATTACTCTATAGCTTCCTTCTCGGACTAGACCCACACTGATGGTGAATTACTTAGCAGTCCAGTTCCCGAGTCCCTGCCCAGACTGGACACCACCAGGGGCCAGAAGTTTAAAATTTGGTTCCCCTGGACCATGCTCCATCTCTAGCCTTGGGGCCATTTTGCTTTCTCTCTCTACTCCCTGGTGTGTAGTAAAACCCTCAGTAAACATTTGCTCTGCAAACAAGTGACTACAGCTACCACTTACTTAAATGAGTCCACGGAACAGCTGGCCTGGCTGAGTTCTGACTGTGGCCCATCACCTACCTGAACAGGCAGCTCTGAAGGTGGGTCTGACATCCTCCCCCAGGCCCCCAGGTTTTTCCCACAGCTGTGCCAGCTATGATGGTGGAAGGGACTCTCTGAGGAGCAAGGCTCAGGCTGGGCCTGCAAAGCCAGAACCCCCACTGGGAGAAGGGGTGGTCAGACCGACAGCTTAGGGGAGGCACATACAGTCCCTCCAGAGTCAATGCACCTGCCTGCCAGACCCTGGCCACCTGCTTTACCCAGGAATGACTGTCTGAGGTGACCTTTTATTCCCCTAATAATGTATTCCTGTATACACACACACACATTACTGGGTTGAACTCAAGGCTTCATGCTTGCACTTGAGCCACACCTCTAGCCCATTTCTCTCTGATACTGGGTTTTGCTTTTTGTCCAGGCTGGCCTAGACCATGGTCCTCTCATTTTAAGCTCCCCCCGCCCTTTGCGAGGATGACAGGCATGCACCACCATGTGCAGCTTTTTGCCATTGAGATGGGGTCTTACGAACTATTTTGCCCAGGTTAGCCCTGAACTGCAATCCTTCTTATCTTAGCAAAAAAGTAGCTAGGATTACAGATGTGAGTCACTGGCGCCTGGCTGCTGCTTTTTCTTTCTTTTTTCTTTTTTTGAGATGGGGGTCTATCTTGCTCAGGCTAGTCTCAAACTCTTGGGTTCAAGCCATCTTCCCCTTTCTCTCTCCTGAGTAGCTGGGACTATAGCTGTGTATCACCATACATGCTATCTTTTGAATGAGGGATTTTCTAAAACAAAGAATAAACCTCTATACCACTAAAAAAAAAAAAAACGGAAAAGAATGGAGTCTGTTAAAAAAAAAAGCACTTGGTATTTTCTAGAAGGAATTAAATTTCAAATAAAGACAAGATATTCTTTTGATTACAAAGGCATTATTATTCAAGACTGCCAATCAATCTGTCTATATAATTACAGTAGCAGTGCAATGCACAGGAATATAATTTATACAGACACACTCCACTTCAACCTAAGTGTTTTCAATAATACTACTAATAGGTTTTTTAATAAGTTCACTGTCCTGTGTTCCCACAGGAGGGCTTTGCTCCCTCTCAGAAGCATTTGTGTTACAAACATCATTCAGCCTTTCCCTGCAGTGAGGGCAAATGCCCTAGAGTGATACAGGATATATTCACATCACCCTACATCGCTGAGTCAGACATCCCATCCATACCATGCCTACCTCTGCTTCATTTATAATAGTTCACACAGACAAAAATGTCTATCTGAAGAAAGACAATAGAACAGGAGGCTGAAAAAGATACTTTTACAATAAAAACACATTTAAAAAAAGTAATTTTGTGTAATTACATTTGGAATTGGAATTTCTTCTTTCACAGATCAATTGTCCTTCTCAGACGGTCTATAAAACCAGCACTTTTAGAGGAAGCTTCCAAGAGTCATAGTCCACACCAAGAGAAGGCAGATTGTAAAGTGCTCGAAAACCAAGGATGCCAGGAAATAATGTAGTAATATGGATTTGTTTTCTTTTTGGGTGATACTGGGGTTTGACCTCATGGCTTCCTGCTTGCTAGGTAGGCACTCTATCACCTGAGCCTTTCCTGTAGCCCTTGTTGCTCTGGTTATTTTGGAGATAGGGTCTTTCTTTTTGTCCAAGCCAGCCTGGACCTATATTCTGTTTTACACTTCCCACCATCACTGGGATGATAGGTGCATGCCACCAAGCTCAGCTTTTTTCTTTGGGAGTTTTTATCCAGGCTGGCCTGGAACCACAATCCCTCCGATCTCAGCCTCCCATGTAGGTTGGGATAACAGGTGTGTACCACTGCACCCAGCTATTGGTTGACTTTTTTTTGCCTGGGCTGGCCTTAAACTGTGATCCTCCTGATCTCAACCGCCCAAGAAGCTAGGACTACAGGCGTGAGCCATCAGCTCTGGCAGAATGTTTTAAATGCTGAATCCTATTGGTAACAGAATGAGCTGAGACTAATAAAATTCAGAATATTCTTACAAATGGACAAATTTTAGAAAGTGTTCAAAGTGAAAAACACTGTGGTTAAAGGGGTTCTTGTAGTGCTGACGGCTAACGCTGGAGTATTTCTGGGGTGGTGGTTTTAATAGTGATACCGGAGCTGTGTTCTGGGTCTTGAGCTATGGAGTTGCTTCCTTAAGTTAACCCGCAGGAAACCCTCCACTCCTCTAGAAGTCATGGATATTTACAGGTGAAGATTTCATGTCTTATTCTCGGTGCATTCTGTCTCTGTGACATGATTAAGCCCAGACCTGTGAAGACACAAAAGATGGCTTTGAGTCCCTCAGGAGTGAATGACTTGTAAGACTTGAGTCACAGAGATGGAATCAGTCTGTTCACACACACACACACACACACACACACACCCGTGCAAAATGGTGTACTCACACCCTCTGTGCACCCAACTCCCCCTCCCTTAGCTAATGGCGTCCAGGGCATCTGTGGCCTCTCCACTGGGGATTGGTAACTTTTTTAGATTTGGGAACTGAACCATCTGTACCCACCCAGCTCACTGTGTACATCAACATCCTTTACTACCCACAAAGATGAACTCACTCACATGTAACTTTTTTGTTTCAAGATCTTTGCAAAACTCCTTTCATCTACTTATCCTGAAGCCAGACATTCAGTTTATTGTCTTTAGAAAAGATGCCCATGTCTCAGACAATACAGAACATCAAAATGACCGTGTACTGTCCGACAGGGTCTTCAAAACCCTCCCCTCTTCATGTCCAGCAATCTTAAAACTCTTATGCCATAAATACGTCCAATCCTGCTTAAGTGCCTCTATCCAAAGACCTGCCTTAAGCCAGACCCCAGTACCCTCATCCATGCCTCTCCTCTCCTGAGAGGTTACTAAGCCTCCGTCAGGTTTGTGATCTACTGCGAAGGTGAGTAATAAACTTTGCTTTATGAGTATTTTGGGCATATAAAGACTCGGCTATTGTGATGATATTTTGGGGCAGCCAAAGGTGTACAGACCCTGGAGTTTGAAAATCTAGTGGAAATCAGAGTTCTGTCTGGAACAACGTGAACAGACACTGGCAGGTCATTTTAGGGGCTTCCCAGGGTCTCCCAGGGTCTCTGCAGGCCTTCCAGGGTCTGTGACCCCACACAGCAAGGTCAGTAATAGCAGTAAGAATCTATGGTGTGCCAAAGGCTAGAATCATAAGAACTAGACTTTTAGGGTCAAAAGGAACATTCTGGATTATCAACCCCCTGCCCCCCTTCCCCCGACTCCATGATGGGATCTAGTTGTCTAAACTCTGAGTGAACACCTGTGTGGATGCGGTCTCCCGGCCTCCCAGACAAGCCCGTCCTGCTGCTGCAGGCAGGGCTGAAGGCAGGGCCATCTGGCTGATGGCCGGCTCAGCTCTGCGGGCCCCTCTGCCCTAAGGAGGCCAGCACCCCTCCTCTCACATGCACTGAACTAGAAACGCAGCTCACTCTCAGGGTGTGATCCCACGAGCCCGAGCAGAAAGCAGTCCCGTCAGGGGACACGCGCAGAGTGCTGACACGGTTCTCATGTCCAAACAGGATGGAGACTCGGGAGCCCTTGAGAACATCCCACACGTTGATGGTGTAGTCGTTGTATCCAGCGAAGAGCAGGCGACCTGGAAGTGGGCGACAGGATGGTGATCACACTGGCTCCTTCCTTCCTGTTTCTCTTTTCATGACTGTCACTGTCACTCACGCACCATGCATTAACTCATTTGCTCATCCATTCATTCATAAGCAGGGATTTCAGCCCACTACGTGCCAGCCGGTGTGCTTTGCCTTTGGGATTCAAAGAGGAGAAAGTACAGTTGCTGTCCTCATGGAGGACGTGGGGAGAGGAGTAAGTCACTGTAGCATCGCATGCTAAGAGCCAGGCTGTAGGGGACTGAGAGTATAACATGCCATGGGGCCACACAGGAAGGAGGCTAGAGGTGGCACTGCAGACACAAACAGCTCTATTTTTTTTTTTGGTGGGCCTGAGGTTTGAACTCAGGGCTTTGCGCTTACAAAGCAGGCACTGTACTGCTTGAATCACACCTCCAGTCCATTTTGCTCTGGTTATTTTGGAAATGGGGCCTTGCAAACTATTTGCTGGGGCTGGCCTCAAACCTTGATTCTTTTCAGCTCAGCCTTCCAAGTAGCTTGGATTACAGGTGTGAGACACTGGTACCCGGAAAACAGCTCCGTTTTAACCCTTTAGTACTTAACAACTTGTAAAAATGTGAATTTACAGAGATAAAATCAAAGCGACATTTGAGGTAGCTTTTGAGGGCTGAGTAGGAGTTTGCTGTGCAGGAGAAGTTAGTCGGCTGGAGCATCACTGTGTGCAAGGCACAGACTTGGAGTGGGACAGGGTCTGGAAAACAGAATGGTCCAGGGACCATGCCCATCAGCCCTGCTTCCTGGCAGAAGAGTCAGGAGTCTCAGGCACACAAGGAAGGGACTCTTGTTTCCCACCATCTGCCTATGAGAAAGCTCCCTTTGGACACAGAGGGGGAAAGGAAGACTGGGGAGAAAATGGCCAAAGCATTGCAGCTGTGAAGTCCTGGCACAGACTGGCTTCAAGGACAGCAGCAGGTGGGACAGTCTTCATTTCCCCAGAGTGGATGGCCAGGAGAGGTGGGAGGCTTCGGGGTACTGGTGCATGGGAAGTTGAGCTGGGTTTCTCTCAGGTCCAGTCTTACAGTCCTGGGATGGTTTCTGAAGCAAATCTTACCACTGAGGGAGAAGTCCACGCTGGATGCTCCAAATATAATGCTTTCTTTGGAATAGATGGCGACTTCCCTGTCTGCCCGGAGGTCATAGAGGCGACACTGGAGTGCAAAGAAACAAAAAAGCACTTACTCCTTTTTTGTAGTACCGGGCTTTAAATTCAGGGTAGATAAGCAACTGCTCTACCACTTGAACCATGCCCCCAAACCCTTTTTGGTTTATTTTCAAATAGGGTCTCACGTTTCTGCAGGGCTGGCCTGAACTGCAGATCCTCCCTATTTATGCTTCCTGAGTAGCTGGGATGACAGGTGGGCACACCCCTACGCCCAGCTATTTGTTGAGATGGGATCTCTTGATCTTTCTGCCTCTCTCTAAGGTGATCCTCCCGATCTCAGCCTCCCATGTTGCTAGGATTATAGTTCCAGTGTGAGCTGCCGTGCCTGGCAAGGGGCACTTCTACCTCCACTTTGGTGAAATGATGATCTCAGAGCTACCGGTGGGTGCTGGTAGCTTCTGTGCTTTGAGGGGTAAGGGAAGAAAACCTTTTTAGTCCTGTTTTTTCATCCCTCAGTCCTTCCATCTAACACTCTCCCAACTGAGCTATTTTGGCTTGCCCCGTCCCTCGATCCTGATTTCTGTTAATTCCCATGAATTAGAGGAGAAGAAAAGGAATAGCAGATACAGAAAAAATTTTTTAGGTATAAAACTAAAAATGAAATTTTGTGGTTTTTTTTCCTGATGAATGAATGTGGTCACTGTAGAAAATTCAGAAATATTCAGAAATGCACAAAGAAAGAAATGAGCCACCCAAATCCTAGAGCTATTTATTACGGTCTGGGCTATTTCCTTTCGTCTTGTTTCTGTTTTATGTGTGCACATGGGGTCCATGTTTCACTGTTGTTTTTATTAACATGTTATAAGCATTTCCCTACATCCTTAAATAGGCCTCAAAAAAGATGAATTACATAATTGTCAAATACCCCTTGTGTGGATATATCATTACCTGTTAAGTATTTTGCTTGTGACCAAATTTTCTTTTATACATAGCAGAATGGTGAGCATTTTTGTGTAAAAATCCTTGCATACATCTCTGGTATTTTCCTTAGAATAGCTGAAGAGTAGAGTCCTTAGGATAGAATTGTTCCTGAGAAGTGGCGTGACCAGACCAAAGGGCAGAGATCTAAGCTGCAGGAGGGCGGGCGGTACCCTAGGTCCCCACCCAGGCTCCTCCAAGACTCCTTCGGCCTTACCGCCTCTACCTGGAGGCTGCCTGGCTGGTCCAGGAGGCCAAAGGGGCAGCTGGTCATTTGAGCTTGCGTTTCTCTGACTCTAGGTGGGGCTTTGCAAACACTTCGGGTGTCTACTTGCCATTCTGCATTTGCTGCTTTGCAAGGAGACTGCCTACACCCTTCCTCTACCTTAGTGCTCATCTTGATTACGCACCCCCAGTCACAAAGGACTTTTACCTGTTTGGCCACCTGTGTGGCACAAATTTTTCCAAAATGTACAACCTTGTATTTCGTTATATAGTTCTGAAATCTGAAATTGTAAAATTTTGATTATTATCAAAAATCTCAGGGCTGGAGGTGTGGCTCAAGCAGTAGAGTGCTTGCTTTGCAAGCAGGAAGTCCTGAGTTCAAACCCCAGTCCCACCAAAAAAACAAAAACCAACAAACAAACAAAAAATCTCAAGCTATTCCCTTGTGGTTTCTTCCATAAGCAGTAAGTCAGAGTGAAATCTGTTATTAAAAAAACACCTGATCTTTTCTTTTCTTTTCTTGCATGGTACTAGGGTTTGATGGAAGTCAGGGCCTTGTACTTGCTAGGTAGGTGCTCTACCACTTGAGCTGTGCCTCCAGCCCTGCTACTTCATATTTAAAAAAAAAATAGGTCCACAAAATTTGCCATTAGTATAAAAAGACAACTGGGTTCATGTTTGGCTCAGCAGTTTATGTCTGAGACATTTTTTTTTTTTGGCAGTAGAGGGCATTGAACTCAGGGCCTTGCACGTGCTAGGCAGGCCTTCTATCACTTGGGCCCCCCCGCCCTTTTCGCTTTGATTACTTTGAGATAGGATCTCATTTTATGCTCCTGTGGTTTGGACTGTGATCCTATTTATGCTTCTCTGTGTGGCTGGGGATAACATGCATGAACCACCGTGCCCAGCCATTGGTTGAGATGGGATCTCAAGTATTATCTGCTGGGGCTAGCCTCAAACTTCAATCCTCCTAATCTCTGCCTCCCAAGTAGCTAGGATTATAAGCTTGAGCCATTGAGCTAGGCCATGTCTGAGAGTTTTAAGAAAATAATAAAACAGTAACAAAAATACTTACTTAAAGAAGTGTTTTTCATTTGTTTATTTTTTGAGACTGGGTCTTGCTTTATAACAGGTTGGTCTCAAACTTGCAATTCTCCTTCTTCAGCCTCCCAAGTCTTAGGATTATAAGTACATACCACCACACCAGGCAAGAGCAGTGAAAAAATAAATGCCCCAAAATGGAAGGATGATTAGGTAAATGATGACAAGCCAGGTGCTGGTAGCTCACACCTGTATTCTTAGCTACTTGGGAGGCTAAGATCAAGAGATCACAGTTTGAGGCCAGCCTGGGCAAATAATTCAAGAGACCCAATCTCTAAAACTAGAGCAAAATGGACTGGAGTTGTAGCTCAAGCAGTAAAGTGCTTTCTTTGCAAGCACGAAATCCTGAGTTCAAACCCCAGCCCTACCTCTCCCTGCCCCGCCCAAGAGAGCACGTCCGTCCATAACATGGAGACTATGCAATCGTTAAGAAGATATACTGGAGAAAAATGTTCTTGCTATGGGAAAGAGTCTGCAATCTGTTGCTAGAAAAAAGGGCAAATATATAAATAAGTGTTTTGTTTACAAAGTAAAAAGATAGGATTTCATTCAACTGTGATTTTTCTTGGGCAGGGACATTAAAAGTAGTTTAACTCCCTCCTCCCATTTTCTTCAGTTAATACATATTACTTATGCAACCACCAGAAAATAATATTTAAAAAAAAATAAAATTCAGTTACTTATCTCTCTTTTGCATTGGTAAAGCTCTCGATCACTTAGCAACCTACCGTGGCATCATCTGACCCAGAAGCAAAGGCGTCTCCGCTAGGGTAGTAGCTGCAGAGAGAGGATGGAGAAAGTGTGTCACCCAGAGTGGTCACGCTATCCCTCGGTGCCCTGCAGAACCCTGGGCAGGCCGTCTCATGCTAGGCCCTCAGAACCAGAACCCCCCTTCTAGGAACACAGGAACCTTTGTCACCGATGTCCCCAGAGGGGGCACCCATATGGCAGGCCACTGGCCTCTAGTTTTCTTCTTGTAAACAGGGGACAATGACAGCAGGCTTGCTGAGTGTTAGCATAAGTGACAGATATGTCATCTGCATCAGGTGTGGAGCAGAGCAGACCCCCTGGATGCTCAGGCCCCTTCACCACACACCTAATTCCCAAGACTGGGTTTAGAGCTCAGGGATAAGACAGTGGCTATTAACACAGACACTGGAGCCAGGGGTCCAGAGCCACCTTCAGTCATCTGCACTGTCATACTACCCGTGAGATTTTTCGTAAGTAGCCTTATTTGTCCAACCTCAGTTTCCTCATCTGAAAAGCCGGGCTACAAATGCATACTCCGTATTGTGAAGATTAAACAAGACCGCACATGTAAGGAGTGTGCATGGAGCCAAATAAAAGCATTCAGCAAGTGACTGCCACCGCCACGCCCTTCTCTTCTCAGTGATCAATAAGAAATATGGGCACTAGATTATGAGGGTTAGAACCAAGGTCTTTAGCCCCTCCACTCTGCCCTCACCCACTACGTCCCCACAACCTTCCACTGTTTCCTCCTTCTGGTACAAATGGCCCTCACCTTGTAGCTCCAGAAAGGCTGGGAGAGGAGTCAGGCCTTTTAAACCAGTTTATGGAATTACCTGTCCTTTGGGGGAGACGAGAGTAAAAGTGTTTGACAAGAGGGAGGCAGCTTGACTGTGTGACTGACCTACCCTGGTCTAAAGAAAGACTGGATGAGAAACGCTAAGAACTTTCAGTTCTGCCCCACTCCACAGCGTGCACTCACTATGGTTTCAAAGCATGAGGAATTCACGCAGTATCAGACGTACCCATATTCTACTCTCAATTTAGCAATTTCTGGATTATACCCACTGGGGGGCCTGGGGGCTGTGATTTCCTTCTGTGGAAGGGAAGTCATCTAGAACCAACTTTTGCAGCTCCCAGAATCTAACCTCTTTCTTTCCTATGGCTGTGGTTATTGAAGCAGGGTATTTTGGTTGTTACCAAGCCCTGGGGGGTGCTACCAGAATTCAGTGGCTTGGGAAGACAGGGATGCTAAATGTCTTACATGGTCAGTCTATGAAGACAAATCCTACCCCAAATGGCAGGAGTGTGTCCCATTGAGTGCACTGGTTTGTTTTCCCCTGGGCTCATGGTGAATGAAATCTACACGTCCAGTCTTCTGCAGCCAGATGCAGCCATTTGTGATCTAGCTCTGGCTCGTGCAGTGTAAGCGGAACTGGCATGTTCAACTCTCCTCTTCCCCCTGGCTGGAAAGAGGACATGGTAGGCCAGTTGGGCCAGTAGGTGGAAAGCATCATCGGAGGAAGGGGATGCAAGACAGAATGAGCCCGCTAGCAGCTCAGATGTAATGTGAGAATGAACTTCTGCCATACTTAAGATCCTGTCAGATAGGCCTCTGTCACATAAGCCCATGTCCTACAGAGTCCAGTGTACAATCAAGGGCATGCTAAGAGACCAGTGTAGCAACATCCAGTGTGACTTCAGCCCTGGGTGGACAGTAGCCAGTGTTTTTCCTAGGAGAAAATCAAAAATACTCTGACCATGTGGCCCACTGGGTCAGTTGTAGTAGAATGTGCCAGATCAATGTATGCCGTTTTATAAAACTACTTAATTGGGACTACAATCATTTACACAGAAAGCATGGCCAGTTAAAATAAGTAGTATTTTGTCTTTCCTACCAGCAACACACCCTGTTTCTCTATTTATCAGTACTTTCTTTCTTCCATTAAGAATTGATAAGTGCTTACTCGAGTTCAGCTGTATTTCCCCTCTGACTTCCTCCACCAAAGAGATGAATGAATACCCTGGCCACGTGGTGAGGCAGCTCTCACAGGACAGCACCTGGCTCAGCCCTGGGAACCTGATGGACACTCAGAGGAGGAGGGCTCAGGGCAGAGCACGTCATGGATGAGTGTACATTTCAGAGCTATCATGAAGATATCGGGATTTATCTTTGTGGCTTCATTTCCCATCCTGCAGTTTTAGTAACTTCATTTGCTGCTATCTGTAGTGATTTCTGGATTGATGTCTCCTGATTTTCTAGTAATACTACTCAGTTACAAAAGTGAGGTTTTTTTTTTCTCCTTATCTCACATTTGGGGGCAGGGAGTACTAAAGTAAGTAAGCATTCTTTTTTTCGTTTTTGCTTTTTTTTTTTTTTTTTGGCAGTACAGGGGTTTGAACTCAAGCCTTCACAGTCGCTAGGCAGGTGCTCTACCACTTGAGCCACTCCACCAGCCCTGTTCCTGCTTTTAAGAGGCATGAGTTAAGTGTTTTACCACTAAGAATAAAGGAGATCGTTGGGATTCTGAGTATAATGAAGACACTTCATATACAGTAGACCCTTGGTACATGCAGGAATGGGATGCCAGGGACACCGCCACTTAGGAAAACCCACAAGCGCTCAGGACGTAGAGTTCAGTCCTCTGAACTTACTCAAGTTTACCTGTACCATCATGTATACTGCAGGGCTGAGAATCTGTAACCAGAAACCACATGCAGCAGGCTACATTACTGTCACAGAATTGCTGCTGTGCACATTAATACTGCTCACTAAACACTAGCTCTAATTTCACGCCCTTTATCTCCAGTACTGAGGATGCTTGATTCATTTTTCTGTAACGCTGCCCAACTTCCACTAGAGACATCCGCCTTTCAACAGATTCCACATTTTCACTTGATCACTTCAATTAAGCACATTTGCTTTTACCTTGCTTTTTGGGCACAATTTGCTTTTTGGGAGGCAGATTTTCACAAAATGAAGGGCTGGGAAACACTCAGATCACAAAATGGTTTAAACACAACTGATGATGACGAGGGCCCAAAAGAGCTTCTCCACTTCCGCTGAGCTGTGTGGGAATTTAAAAATTAAAATCCTTTTCACTTTTAAAATTTTATTACTATTATAATTATTTTGGTGGGACTGGTGTTTAAACTCAGGGCTTCACACTTGCAAAGCAGGTGCTCTACTGCTTGAGCCTCACCTCCAGTCCATTTTATTCTCATTATTTTGGAGATGGGGGTCTCAGCAGCCTGGGCGGGTCTCAAACCATGACACTCCCAATCTCTGTCCCAAGTAGCTAGGATTACAGGTGTGAGTCACGGTGCCCTGCTTAATTATTATTTTTGACTGAGTTTGAGCATGCTTAATAAATGGTGAATAAGGCAGGCTTACTGCACTCAGTAGTGGCATCTTTCATATACATTAAGTCCTGACCTCTCTCTTAGGATCCCGTTCACAGATCCTGCTGCCTGCCTGGATGTCACAAACTGATCTTGCCAAACAGAGCTCCTGGATGCATGGGCAAAACCCGCCTTTCTCTTTTGCACTTCCTCCAGCCTTCCCTGTTGGGGAAATGGCTCACTGTGTACTGCGTCTGGTAAGAGATTTGGGTTCCCACACTCGGGGTTCTTCCTTATATGTGTGTCTTGCATGCACAGGTGTCACCCTGTGGTGCTAGACTCCAGGAGCCAGCACACACATGGTGATACTCTTGCTACTGCCCTGCTATAATAAACTGTCCTTTACCTCTGACCCAGGAATCTCGTGTTTTCTGCCCGCATCCATGAGCTGCAGCAGCCTCATCTGCAGGCAGGTAATCTCAGACCCTTGATTATTCTTGACATCTATCTGTCTATTCCACCATTACCCTCTTGAGTTTCAACCACCATCATTTCTTTCTTAAATTCACACAACAGCCTTCTAACTGGCCATCACACTTCTATCCCTACTCCCGTGTGCTATTCTCCATTCAGCCTGAGTTATCTTTAAAGGCAAAACATGATCACGCTAGCCACCCCTCCCCCAACTCAAGACTCTCAGTGGCTGCCTGACCTTTTGTTAGGTCCCTTAACATCTCATCTCTGTGCTCTTCCCCCCAGCTCTCTGTAAGCCTCGCCTTTCTATCATCCTCAGCTTAAATGTCACCTTTTCTGGGAGACCTTCTTTGACCTCTTTCTAAGAACCAGCCCACCCCATTGCACCTCTCTGTTCTACTCTATTTCATGGCATTTATCAGTATCTCAAATGAAACTGTATGTTTGTCTGGTTGTTTTTAATCTAGTTTGTTTCCTCTGTGAGAGCACAGACCTTGTCTATTTCATTCACACTATAATCCCAGCTCTAAGAATATCTTGCATATACACACTCAATAAATATTTGTTGAATGGATGAGGATGTCACTTGTCCCTGAAGCAATTAAACTGAAACTCTCCATAAGATCTAGAGTGTCAATCCTGCCAATTAACTTAGCCTTCCCTAGTCAGGAGCCCTGTCTCAGCCAGGTAAACTGAGCCTGAAGGTGGTTCCTGGGCTGAGGACAACCCAAGCCCAGGTAATGCCAGCAGGACAGAGAAGTAACAAACATATTCTACTCACTGACCGGACACTGTTGACGTCAGATTCGTGTGTTTCAAAGGCCTGCACGCACTGGCCCGAGCGCATGTCCCACACCATGGCTTTCTTGTCGCATCCCTGTAAACGTAAAATTACCCAGAGTTATGGCCACTGCAAGGACTGTCTGCAGACAGGGCACAGGTCCTGACACACTTTCCTGAGTAGCCATTTCCCTCAATCGATCCTCCCAGGAACTCAGAACATGCTAATGGGATGGGAGGAGCCTGGGAGGCACCCAGCCTCCTTCTATAGCACGTTTTTGCACGTTTCTGAATGGAGGCAAACCTCCTCCCAGGCATTTGCCTTCCCTTCATTTTCTCCTCCTTTCTCTCCTCTTTATATCTGCCTCCCTCACCCCAGAGAGCAAGGCAGGCATGGGCAAACTGTCTGCCTGTGTCACCACAGAACGGGTTGGCATGCCCAGACTGAGTGTCCCCAGCTTTGTCTGAAGTGTAGGGTCAGCCTTCAAAGGGGGAGAGGAGGCGTCCTTGGCCAGTATGCTTCATGTCCCCCCACTCTCACCCCCCCTTCATAGCCTGATGTCAAATAGCTGGGGGCCTTAGGCAAGTCACCTCCCTGGGCTTCTGTCTCAACACCTCTAAAGTAAATGCTCTCTTTGAGTGGCTAACATGAGTCAGAATCACAGACATTATCCTGTCAAGATTCTGGGAGCAAGGTGACCAAGTCCTGCAGAGCAACCGAGTTACCGAGCTTGGGAAGTAAAACGTGTTCTCTCAATTGTAAAATAGAAGATGCAATGTCTTAAAATTTGTGTCCAAGATGTTGGCCTTGAGTCAGGGCGAGGGACGTCAGGGAGGTCTGCTGGGGGTGTGGCACCCTCAGTGTTTCCCTGAGAATGTGGACAAGGAAATCAGGATGTCATCACATCTTTAACAGACACTACACTGAATGGCACGTGGTGCTCTACAAGGGACAATGTAATCAGCAACGAGAGTGGTAATTTTAAAAAACACAGCTGAGCGAGGACAAATGTAGGTACACAAAGCCCAGGGCTAAAACACACACAGATGGCCAAAAACCTAAGAAGAAAATTGGAGTTCCTGCTAGTGAGGGGCCACACAACTCTGGCCTGACTCCCAGGACCCAGCGGGGCAATTTGGAGCAAAGAGCTCTGAGCTGTCTCCCAGCTGTAAAAATCACTGGCCAGAGTGTGCATTGCTGTCCTGCCTCACCAGTGTGACCTGAGCGAGGTGAGGCAGGATTAGGGGTCAGCTCAGTCCAGGGGTCTTATTCGAGGGGTTCACAGGACCCTCACCCCACTCCTCTGCACAACACACTGTAAACTGTTGCATCTACTGCTGCACAGGGAAGGGACAGGTACTACTGCACATTGTTAAATTTACAGATGATGAAATTCAGTCAGGTGGCAAAGCCAGGACCCAAGTACGCTGACTCCTAGACCAGCGCTCCTTTGTGCCATGTGGCCTTTGCCAGCTCTGAGCCTTCAAATACTCTGTTCCCTGCACCCTGGGGTGAGAGTGGCTAGTGGCCAGCAAATGTGGGGAAGTGACAATGTTCACAACCCATAGCCATTAACTTATTTTAGTGCTGCCTCACCCTAGCAGCCCTCGCCCTGCTTGGGGCCCTGTGACTATGCAAACTCTGAGGGACGTCCAATACAGCTTGGCAGGTTTGTGCCCTGAGTTTCAATGCTTACCCACAAGAACCTTCAAGATCTCTCTGTAGACTGCTGAATGTCAGTGGCAGAACAGAAGGTGGCCTGGCACCAGCTCTGCCATTGTTCAGGAACTGGGGGGTCTGGCAGGGAGTTGGTCACCTCCCACAGTCCCTTCTAGGGGAAGATGGGGTCCAGGCCCACAAATGAATGAGAACTGCTACCACATGCCTCCCTAGGGGATGAAGGACCCTAGAGGCTTTCCTTGGGTCTTTACCCCAGACACGAAGGTGTTTCCGGTTTCTGAGGGGGCCAGGTCCAGGCAGAGAACATCAGCCCCGTGCCCATGGAAGCTCTGCAGCAGCTGCCCACTCTCCACGTCCCACAGGGCACACGTCCCGTCTCCGCTGGCCGTCAGGATCTGCCCACAGGAGAGGATGGGAGAGTTAGGGGAGTTCAGTCCCACAGACGCAGATACAGACACACACACACACACACACACACACACACACACACACACACACACACAGACACATACTCAGACGCAGACAGACATACACACACATATACAGACACACATACACACACTGCTCTCTGGATCAGAAAAGTCTCTCCGTAGCAAGAAGGCCAAAGTCCACTTTTGGCACTCTCATAGTCCTTGGGTCATGTGTCTGTGTGCCTGTCCTCCTCCAGAGCTGAAATCTGGGTGCCTCACTGGGGTACCTACGGGGCTCCTGTCTGGCATGTACGAGGTGCTCTGTGAACGTCTGTTGAGCAGAACCTTCCATGGCTCCCCCTGCTGTGCAGGCTAAGGTGCTTCTCAGACATTAGCACACGCACAAACCACTGGGATGCTTGTTGACTGAAGCAGTCTGGGTCGGGCTTGAGGGCCTACATCTCTCCCGAGCTCCCAGGCGAGGCTGGGGGTGGTCACAGGACCACACTAGAGCAGTGTGTGCCTAGGCTGCCTTTTGCCAGCACCTCCTCCTGCTTTTGCACCTTGGTCTCTGCTCTGGAATTTGGGTTAACAGGATAGTCACTGAGGAAAAAAACCCAACATCATCGCCTGTCTCTGTGATAAACCATTCTGGGGCCAGACACGCTTTCTTGTATGGTAACAGGAAGTGGTAGTTACACAATACTGAGGTTAAGTGAAAGGAGGCTAGCTGCTTGCTCAAGGCAATACTGCTCCTGGAACAAAAGGCTGCAAACCAACCGCAGGACTTATTTATCAAGCTGGTGTGGTGGCTCACACCTGTAATCCTCAATATTCAGGAGCCACAGATGGGGAGGATTGCAGTTTGAGGCCCGCCTGGGCAAATAGTTCATGAGACCTCATCTCAACCAATGGCTGGGTGAGGTGGCACACGCACCTGTCATCCCAGCTATGAAGGAAGGATAAATAGGAGGATCAGGTCCAGGCCAGCCTGGACATAAATGAGACCCCCTAATCTCAAAAACAACTTAAAAAGCAAAGAGGACCCGGGGCTCAACAGGTAAGAGTACCTGACTAGCAAGTGAGATAAAGCTTTGAGTTCAAACTCCACTACTGCCAAAAAGGAAAAAAGCAACAACAAAAAATAACCTCAGGTTACAAAGGAGGGAAATCTGCTCCCATCCTAGCCTTGTCCCTGCCCCTGCACCGTCTTGGCTTGGGTTTCCTGTCAGGCAGTCTGGGGAGGCCTAGGATCTCCCTGCAGCCACGAGTGGTCACTTTCGAGTCCCCTCCATAGAGCAAGAGCTGGGTGAATTCTCAAGCTCATGGCCACATGGTACTGCCCCTCCCTAAAGCCTCCACAGAGGCATTCTCAGTTCAGGGAATCTCTAAGGCTGCAAAGCCCCTGAAGCTGTGCACAGAACCCTCTTCTGCCTCGACTTCCCTCAGAAGGTCTGTCTACATTGGCAAAAGTAGTTTATGAACACACAAGACTTGGACAGAGTCTTAATTTGAGTTCCAGCAAAATGTAATGTGTTCCAATCCCCTTCACTCTTCTCCTGGCCTCACCCACTAGTGGATGCTGCACCCCTTTCTGTCCTAACTCTTGCAAAAGCTCAGTAACTTAATCCTTTTTTTGGAAAAGCAGGCCCAAATAATCTGCTTTAAATGATTGAAATTTGTGAAATTTTTACACCATACGCTTCCACCAAAGAAATAAAAAGTTCTCAAAAGTCAAAGGTAAGTTCTATTTAATACAGACTTTTTTTGTTTTAAAATTTTGTGATCTTCATTACAATGTAGGTAAAAACAAAATCTGAAAACCAAACATTTAAATCAGATAAATGCAGTCAACAGAGTCCCAAATTCATTGTCACTCATTTGTTCTCGTAGGCAGAGAATTTGCAGGTTTAATACCATAGTTGTACACCAGCCACTTGAGTTTTTCCTTTATCATCCTAGATCCTAGGGATGGAAGGAGTTCAAGGTTCACTAGTTCAGTACACACAGCTCAGGCTGTGTATCTGAATTGCCCATAAAGCTTTGAGTCATTACTACTAGGGAAATAATATCAGCTAATATTTGTTGCTGTTTACCCAAGACTATGTCATTTTACACAAACCATTTCATTTAATTCTCAGAAAACCTTAATTCAGGAGGGATTTACTACCATCCTTATCTGCATTGAGAAAAACCAATCACATAGTAATTAAAATCCAGTCTGGGAAGAGATCCTGTCTCATTCAGGGCCAAGACCTTTGCCCTGCTCTGCCTCCCAGGAGGCACTCCCACTGAGGAAGCCAGCTGGGACTTCCCTCTATCTCCATCCACTCCCTGCTGTTCTAACCAAAGGGTTCCCATAGGCCCCAGCACCAGCATCTGTAGCAGCAGAATTAGGGTGGTGGGTGCCTACTGCCAACCGATTCTTCTGCATCCTTCTGAGCCTCTCTATCCAGACTCAACATCCTGTGTTGCTTTGGGTGCTTCTCAGGTCAGGGGTCATCTGACTATGGCCACTGCAAGCTCCCTACTGCACAAGTCTGCAAGACTTCTGGGAGGGCTCAAACAGCAGATGCAAACACTGCCCTGCCCTCTGGCAGCAGTTCTAGTCCAGACAGCCCTCAGGCCAGCAACTACACCATCGCCCAGGCACCTGGACTCTCTGCCTTCTGCCTCCAGCCTTCCCCTACTCCTGACAGCAATCTGCTGGAAGTCTCAAATCTCAAATCTTAAATGATCCAAATCTGACTCACCCAGCAATGGCTCCCACTGCCCCCAGGGCCAGCCCCAGTATTTAGGGCACCCTGAGGCTGCCTGCCTCCCACCAGGCTCCCTCACACACTGTGGCAGCCTCAGGTGGCAGCCACTCCTCTTCACAGACAATGGCAAGTTTGGGGTCCCCCTCCCCCCTCCTCCTGCTGGCTGTGAGCTCCTCAGCTTCCCCCACTGTTCAATCACAATTGATTTTGGTGAAGGTCACTGAGGGTAGACAGGTTTCCACATGGAGCCAGGTGGGGTCTGGTGGTCCAGGTGGGGTCTGGTGGGGCAGGTGGGGTCTGGTATGTGGATGCCAGGTGTCCCCCTGGTGGAGGCACTGCTGAATAATGTAACTAAATAAACTACAGAAAAAAGTGGGGCATGGATTTGGAACTGGAAGCATTTTGCCTTTGAATGTAAAGTGTGGCCAGGAGCCAGTGGCTCACACCGGTAATCCTACCTACTCAGGAGGCAGAGATCAGGAGGATCATGGTTTGAAGCCAGCCCAGGCAAATAGTTGTGCAAGACCCTATCTTGAAAAAACCTATCACAAAAAAGGGCTGGTGGAGTGGCTCAAGGTGCAGGCCCTGAGTTCGAACCCCAGTACCTTAAAAATAAAGTGTGGCCAGTGACTGACATGGGTAAGTGCACAGCCTTAAGCTCAGCAGCTCGGTGAAGCACCACACACGTAAGTGTCTTATAAGCCTGTTCTGACCAGGAGAGCGGCATTCCCACCTCCTGGAAGGTTCCTCCCCTCCTCCCAAGTTCAACACACACTGAAGTTTATCTCAACTCTGCCAACAATCAATAGCACAACTTCCCCATTTCTGGTCTTGATGGGAACCAAGAAGAAATGACAGGCGCTTCCTCTTAGAGCGAGCTGCAGGCGTGCACATGGCTAAAAGAGCCCAGGGTGACAGAATCCTTCTGTGCAGTTGATGCACGCTAACAAAAAGAGCGAGAAAGAGAGACGGCAGGGCGCGCCTCCCCCGCAGCCCCCTGGGGCGCTGATTTACCTGCATGTCGGAGTTGGTGAAGCTGCAGGCCGACAGGTAGTTGGTGTGCATGGCGACAGACTTCTTCTTGGCAGCCATGTTCTCGTTCTTGTCGAATGTCAGGGGATACACAGAGCACTTGTTGTCCAAGCCCCTAGCCGGGAAAGCAGAGCGGAGCACAGGCTGACGTGGATGGACTGGAAAGGGGGTGTTCTCATTCAAACCGACGGAAAAACTCTTTCCTTCCAGGGACAGTAACCTTTCCCAACTTCAGCTTTGAAGATTTCAAACCTCCAGAAAAATGGAAACGAAAACCCCACAAAAACAAATATGTGGGTTCCTTCTCAGGTTCACATTTTGTCACCTTTGGGAGAGCAAAGTCAAAACCATTTGGAGGCAGTCTGCAGATGTGACATTTTACTTTTAAATATGTCAACCTGCAAACTCGTATCTCCAAAAACCAAGCACATTCTCCTAGATATCTTCTACACCTTTATCACAGCTGAGGAGATCAACACATGTCCCGTATCACCTAACACGCCATCCATACTCAATCTTTCCCAAGTGTTCACTCTTGCATTCAGGTGTTCTGAATTTCTGAAATTTATTGTTTTATTCTTGAGACAGAGTCTCACAGTACAGCCCAGACTGGCCTCAAACTCTTGATTTTCTATCTCCTAAATGCTGGGATTATAGCTGTGTACTACCACACCTGGCTTTAAAAAGACCTTTTAATCTAGCACACACTCTCTTCCTGTTTTTTGTTGCTCATGACAGGAGATCTTAGGGTCAGCTGTCTTATAGAATGTCACACATTCTGGGTTTGTCACACTGTTTAATGATTAGTTAAGTACAGCTGTAGTGTCCCTGATCAGAAGTGATTGGGACCAGAACTGTTTTCAGATTCCAGAGTTTTGGGGTTTTGGAATACTTGCATACACATAATAAATTGTGGGGACAGGACCCCAGTCCAAACATGAAATCATGTACACATATGCTTTATGCACACAGCCTCACAGTATTTCTAACGCACTTGGGATTTGACTGTAACCCGTATTATGGAGTCAGGTGTGGACTTTCCCACTTGTGGTATCATGTCGAGGCTCAGAAGTTTCAATTTTGGAGTATTTCAGATTTCTAGATTAGGGAAACAACCGGTACCACCGTTCTGTCCTTTCCATGTCAAGGTGATTTCACGCGCACCTCTTTCCAATTGCTTCACTGGGGAAGGCTGGGAATGCCCGCTCCTCTAAGCCCGGTGAAGCCAGGTATGGCAACGTGGTGCAGGCGGGCCACCCACGTCTCAGGAAAGGGCGTTTGTTTGTAACCAGTAATGACCTGTGGCACGAGAGTCTGAGACCACGAAAATAAGTGGTACCTCTCAAGCATGGCGTTAGCATGATGATGCGTGTCTGAATGAAGAACTACTCTAGACATGCAGAACTGTGGCCTGCGACTTCTGTCGTGCCTCTGAGGGTATTCCTGCGTTTCTGTTGAAAGGAATAGGAGGTCTCAGCGGGCCCCAACCCCCTTGTTGGAGAAACCAGTACCAAACATCCCATGTAGATAAGATAAGCAATGCGGCAGGGCTCAGTTAGGGCATATAGAATGTGGGGAATGTGAGTGGGGGGTACATGCAAGATGTGAAGTACGTGCAAGATGTGAGGTACGCGCAAGATGTGCTCTGCCTGCTTGCCCAATGTTGATAACGAAAATATGCATGCCACCGCAGTCTATATAAGATTTCCCCTAAAGAGGCTCAGGGTCGTGTTTTCCTAACCGGTCCTGCGTGTCCGTGTGGGAGCTCGACCCTGGCTAGCCAGCCCAATAAACTCTGCTTTGTTGATTGCATTCTCGCCTGGCTCTCTGTCTCTCGGGGAATAGGATTCCGGGTCCTAACATTTGGAGGTCCACCGAGATTTCATTTTCTCGAGAGACAGAACCTGCCTGCGAGAAAGCAGGGGCGATCCCAAGTCCTAGGCGTTGGGAGGGGATCCCAGACCCTCATTTGGAGGAACTTGAGTGTTCCATTTGGGCCGCGGCGGGGATTCGGCCAATCCCCAGGGAGATTCATTCTGGGAATCTCGCAAGGAGGACCACAGGGTCCTATTGGGAGAGGCTTTCCTCTCATTTGGGCTCGAGCATTTTAGGAACCCTGGCGCCAGGTGAAGAACTAATTGAGCTAGTCGACCGACCACCCGTCAAGTGGACGCCTTTCGGCCTGATATCCCAGTTGGACGGTGAGGAGGTTGAATGGGGTGCGCACCAGTGTGAGAGAAGGACCGGTCCGAGCGAGTGCTGGAGAGTGTTGTGTGTGTGTGGAATTATTGTTGCCTTTACCCTTTTTGTTCTATCTCTCTTGGTGTTTGAGTCTCCTTCCACAATGGGACAGGGACAAACAACCCCAAAGTCTCTGATCCTTTCTCACTTTCCAGAAGTTAAAGAAAGGGCCTTAAATGCGGGTCTGGTCATCAAGAAAGGTAAGTTCGACACCTTTTGTTCTGCAGAGTGGCCCACCTTTGGAGTCGGGTGGCCCATTCAAGGTTCCCTCTCCCTAGACCTGATCACTAAGGTTAAAGCAGTCATTTTTCAGCCAGACAATCGAGGCCATCCAGACCAAGTTCCTTACATTTTGGTTTGGGAGGATCTGGTGAGGAACCCTCCCCCTTGGTTAACAGTTTTTCTGACCCACCCCTCCAGTTCGGCCCCCGGGGCTAAAACCCCAGTCACGCCCGCCTTGGTCATAAAGGAGGAGGAAAAACTTCCTCTTCCCACCTTGACCGGTCCTCAAATTAGGGCATCTCCTTCACCATCTCCGGTCTTACCAGAGAGTTCCCCCCTTTACCCATCCCTCGCAGGGGCAGAGGAAGATCGGCCGCCTCCATACGTGACTCCCCCTGGCCAAGCCAGTGCCCCGGAGGAGGAAATTTCCTCATCCTCCTCAACAGGACTGGCAGCAGGAGGAGGAATGGGTCGAAGACTTCGCCCCCGAGGGATCCGGGAAAGGGAGGGGGAAGACGGGCCCCCTCATCAACACAGGGGGAGGAAACTGTCCCTACACTTCCAGTCCGGATGGTGGGCCAAGGGGGACCGGGAGGAGGGCAACAGTTTCAGTACTGGCCCTTCTCCTCCAGTGATCTATATAACTGGAGGACGCAGAACCCGCCCTTTTCTGAAGACCCCAAGTGTCTCATAGATCTCCTGGAGTCCATCATGCATACACACCGTCCCACTTGGGATGACTGTCATCAGCTGCTCAATACTCTTTTTACGACGGAGGAACGAGAGCGCATCCTCAACGAAGCGAGGAAGAACGTCTTGGGGGATAATGGGAGACCCACAACTCTCCAACCGGCCATAGACGAGGCTTTTCCCCTACGCCGCCCTGATTGGGATTTCGGGACCGCAGAAGGTAGGGAGCGTCTTCGGATCTACCGCCAGACTCTTATGGCCGGTCTCCGAGCGGCCGCAGAAGGCCCACCAATTTTGCAAAAGTGAAAGCAGTCGTTCAAAGGGAAAACGAAAGCCCAGCCGGTTTCTTAGAGCGCCTCTATGAGGCATACCGTCAGTACACCCCTATTGACCCTGAGGCGGACCTCCACCGGTCTGCTGTGGTACTCTCATTCATTAATCAGGCAGCTCCAGACATTAGGAGAAAACTCAATAAACAGGAAAACTTAGGGGAGATGACTATAAGGGAAATGCTGCAGGTAGCAGAAAAGGTCTTTACCGCTAGGGAAACTCCAGAAGAAAGGGAGGAAAGACAGAGAAAGGAAGACAGGGAGGCCCAGGAGAAATTGAGAAAGGAGGACCGGGAGTTCCAGGCTAAGGAAAACCGAAAGCAACAGAGAGAAATGGCTCGTATTTTCCTAGCGGGTGTCCGGGACCAACCCAGGGGAGGGGGCCACGCCAGGACCCCGGATAAGGAACACTGTTTTTACTGTAAGGAAACGGGGCATTGGAAGAGAGAATGTCCTAAGTTAAAGGGAAGAAGAGGGTTTGGAAGGAGACCGGGGGAAAACAGGGAAAGGGAACGAGCAGTAGAGCAGGCCAGAGTCCTCCTAGCCGGAGAAGAGGACTGAAGGAGACGGGGCTCAGACCCCCTCCCCGAGTCCTGGGTAACAATGCATGTGGAGGGGAAGCCGATGGGGTTCATGGTGGATACCGGCGCCCAATATTCGGTTTTAAACAAGGCACATGGACCTTTGAACAAGGCACGAACAAGTGTTGTTCAGGGGGCCACCGGTACGCAGTTATGTACATGGACTACCAAAAGAAAGGTGAACTTAGGAAAACACCAGGTCACACACTCCTTCTTGGTCGTCCCTGAGAGCCCCGCTCCCCTGCTCGGACGGGACCTACTCACCAAAATAGGGGCCCATATCCATTTTGAACCAGATGGAATAATTGTGACTGATCGAGAAGGGAGCCCGATTCATGTCTTGTCCCTATCATTGGCTGACGAGCATCGTCTGTTTGAGAGTCAACAGGAACCAGGAGGGGACATGACTCATTGGGTAAAAAGATTTCCCACGGCCTGGGCGGAGACTGCGGGAACCGGCCTCGCCAAACACCTCCCGCCCGTAGTTATACAATTGAAGGCTTCTGCTCTCCCCATTCGGGTGAAACAGTATCCTATGCCTGAGGAGGCCCGAAGAGGCATAGCCCCTCATATCCACAGGCTAATAAAGGAAGGAGTACTGCGACCTTGTCAGTCTGCCTGGAATACTCCTCTGCTCCCCGTCCGAAAGCCGGGAAGCGGGGACTATAGGCCTGTGCAAGACCTACGAAAGGTAAACGAGCGGACGGAGGACATTCATCCCACCGTTCCGAATCCCTATACCTTGCTCAGCCACCTACCCCCTCGCAAGTATGGTATACAACCCTTGATTTGAAAGATGCTTTCTTCAGCATTCCATTGTCAGAAATTAGTCAGCCGCTATTTGCTTTCGAATGGCAAGAAGATGGGGGCCAATCCGGACAGCTCACTTGGACCAGACTGCCGCAAGGATTTAAAAACTCTCCCACCCTGTTTAATGAGGCCCTGAGCCAGGACCTGGAACCTTTTCGTCGGAGCCACCCACGAGTCACTCTATTACAGTATGTTGATGACTTACTGTTAGCGGCAGAAACCCGAGAGGAGTGCATCAAGGC